ATGTTTAAATACCTCTGCAGGTTATAGGACACAAACCAGTTCAAGGAGCACAGGAAGTGTGTGTTATGCATTCAGTTTTAGGATGGGTGAGAATGCAATATCCTGTCCGGTGTAACAGCAAGTCAGCTAGGTGTACTACGTTGTTGAGTAAGGCTCCATTCACGCTAAGGCATTTCAAATCATGGGCAGAATTGCAGAGATTTTGGCTACTTTTTGAAAATGCGCTGAGAAAGTGTGAAAACGCGCATTCGCATGTTCAGGTGCCATTAATTTCAATGGCACCTGAAACCGCAGGGCATTTTTGCCTCAATCGCGGCTTGTTCAAAATGCCCCATATTTTCAGGTGCTATTGAAAAAAAAGGCACCTGAACACACGAGCATTTGCACAGCACGTTTTCAAATCAAAGGTAGAATCAAACGCCTGAGTGTAAATGGAACCTAAGGAATGAATAAAGGCTGTTCACCTAGCAAAGTGAATGTTACTAAATAAGGCACATTTGTGTTCAATTTCAGTACCTGATCAATGACAAGGGAAATTATAAAAAAATATTTTTGCTATTTTTAGTAAAACTACCCCATTATGTGAACTCTTTTCCCTGCTAAAAGATGTGTCATTCTATCCACCTGTTTCCAGCTATCTAGCTAGACAGGTTACATTGATCCACAAACCTGCTATGGTTTGCAATCCTTTAGAAACACATGCTTGACTTACAATATTACAAGACTTGTAGTTGAAATATAGCCCCAGCAGAGTATTAAATATTGAGAATGAATTAATGTCATGTGTGTAATTAATATTGTCAGTAAAGCCATTATGCATTCGTTATTTTAGGCTTGAGGCCATACAATTATTTGTGCAGCCAAAATTGAAAAAAAAAAACTTTGTAAAACATTTTTTTTCAAACCTAATGAACAAGCTGAAGTTCTTTCCTTTTAGCAACATAAATGCTAGCAAGCCTTGACCAGTTCTCTGGCAGTCTAAAATACTTTATGACCACACCATGTAATTCAGATAAACTTATGCACCTTACTGCCTGAGCATACTGGGGATTAGCAGTCACGTGCTAGGGCTGAGCACTATCATATGATGGATGTCAGTGCATCCAACTTCAGCAAACACCTTTTAAAGACATGTAGACAACTAAAGTCATTAGTAAATTTTCTTTCCTATAAAGGTCAAGGTTGATCCTCATTTTGTACTCCTCTGTTGGGATGTAACACTGGGTTTGCCCATCATAGTAAAGGTTCTAAAGCAGACAGAAAGGATGAGGGGCAGGGGAACCACTCAGACAGCCAAAAAACTATCATGTACAAGTTCATCTGCTGATCTGATTGTATTGACATGCAATTTTCATCAATGGCATTATCTCTTTAAACATTGTCTAGTGGCAGGTTTACTTAACATATCTCCTTATTTTAATTATTAATGAGTGAGTGACATTCAGAATATTACACAAGCCATGTTTTAATCACCGATTCTTTTAGTAACAGAACTATGAGAAAATCATTTTGTTTCTATATATGATATATGGAACTATTCCACAGCTTATATGATTCAGAGTAGAGGAAAAAAGGAGAACATAGCCCAAAGAAGACAAAGGCATTTACAGAAGCCCACATATGGAAGGATAGGTATATACAGTGCATCCAGAAAGTATTCACAGCGCTTAACTTTTGCCATATTTTGTTATATTACAGCCAGGGGCAGACTGACAACTTATGGGGCCCCCGGGCAATAGGGGATCATGGGACCCCTGTGTCCTGGCCCACACTCAAACCACACCCAAAAAAAGCCTATGAAAGGTACCAGGGACATCTCATGGGGCCCCCTACTGACCTGGGGCCCTTGGGCAGTGCCCGAGTTCCCCAATGGTCAGTCCGCCCCTGGTTACAGCCTTATACCAAAATAGTTAAAATAATTATTTTTCCTAAACATTCTACTAACAATACCCCATAATGACAAGTTAAAAGAAGTTTGTTTTGAAATCTTTGCAATTTATTAAAAATAAAAAATGAAAAAAAAGACACATGTACGTAAGTATTCACAGCCTTTGCCATTGGTGTATCCTGTTCCCACTGATCATCCTTGAGATGTTTCCACAACTTGATTGGAGTCCACCTGTAGGAAATTCACTTGATTGGACATGATTAGGAAAGGCATAAAGCTGTCTATATAAGGTCCCACAGTTTACAGTGCATGTCAGAGCACAAACCAAGCCATGAAGTCCAAGGAATAGACCTCGTAGATCTCCAAGACACAGATCTGGGGAAGGATACAGAAAATTTTCTGCAGCATTGAAGGTCCCAATGGTCACAGTGGCCTCCATCATCCATAAATGGAAGAAGCTTGGAACAACTAGGAATCTTCCTAGAGTGGGCCGCCTGGCCAAAATCAGCGATCGAGGGAGAAGGGCCTTAGCCAGGGAGGTAACCAAGTACCTGATGGTCACTCTGAAAGAGCTCCAGCGTTTCTCTGTGGAGAGAGGAGAACCTTCTAGAAGAACAACCATCTCTGCAGCACTCCACTAATCGGGCTATATGGTAGAGTGGCCAGACGGAAGCCACTCCTCAGTAAAAGGCAAATGGCAGCCTGCCTGGAGTTTTCCAAAAGGCACCTGAGGGACTCTCAAACTATGAGAAACAAAACTCTCTGGTCTGATGAAACAAGGATTGAACTCTTTAGCCTGAATATCAAAGGTGGGTAAGTGAGCGCAAACAGATCAGGTAAGCAGCTAACATACAGGGTAATCCTCAATACCTTGGAACATAAACTATGAATGGGGTATGTAGCGCTAGAGAACAGATAATAAACACGGGACTGTTTATGATATGAAGTACCAATACAGCAGTTCATATAATAGTTCATATATTCCAGCCTGAAAAAATGGAAATGATCCAATGATGTTCCAGATCACAAACGATGAAATAAGAGAAATTAGTGAGGTTGTGCGCTTACCACAAATACACACAATATGAGCATTGTATGTAATTAACAGCAACCGGGCATCATGGTCTGGTCAGCAGCCTGGGCACCATCTGGTCATATATGGACATCCGGGTCACAGGTACAACGCTATCCAGGCCCCTTCTGGCTTTCAAATCCAAAACGCCACCTTGCATAAGCTCATTACAAACGAGCCGGGAGGCAAGAAAGCGCTAATAGTAAAGTACGTTTTTTTAAGAACACAAGACAAAAACCAAGCAACCAGGACTCACATTGATATAATGTAAATCCAGGCCCACATAAATCAGCTCCCTGATGGTCAGTGGTTCACTCAACATGCAACGCATACAGATCAAAGTCCAATCGATAGGACCCTGGTGGCCAGTGGTATCACAAATACAAAGCCATAGAGTATAGTGAGTATTATTAGAAATATACTCATCCAGGTCAGGTGAGGTAGTTCCCTGGTGGCTAGTGGATCCCTAGTAGCAACGGCGTCAATAGGGTGGATCCCCTAACATGTTTCGAGCTAAAGCTAAAGCTCGTTATCAAAGGGCCCCTTTGATAACGAGCTTTAGCTCGAAACATGTTAGGGGATCCACCCTATTGACGTCGTTGCTACTAGGGATCCACTAGCCAAAGCGCTGTGAATACTTTCTGGATGCACTGTACTGGCTGATTAAGCTTCAAGTTACAGACAACATCATTCACTCATGTATTTGAAAACCCCTGATGCCCAATCTGAGGCCTGAGGGTTGCATGCAGCCCTTTGGTACATGGTGTGTGGCCTTTGGACCTCAGGGTAATAGCTTTGAGCACTACTAGCCTCATGTAACATGTTCCCAGTTACGTATTGCTTTCTACAGCATATCCCCAGCCAAACATGTAGCGTGTCCACACCCTCTGACCGTCATTTCCTCTATTAGGTCTGCTGTTTCTGACAGCCATCTCAAGCATTATGTGCAGTATATTGAATATTGAGTGATGTCAGGGGCTGCATTTGAGGCCCCCTTTAGCTCATAAGTTGTCAACCACTGTTGTAAACCATTTAAGTATGTCTTCTTAATATGTATTAGGTGCTGCTGTGTTTATATTGGGAGGGGAAGAGGGCACTGCTTGGAGCCCAGACATGAACTGGCTGTACATTTGACAAGTGTGGACACTTCAACTATGTTGATATCAGAAATAGAGATGATGGAACTGAGACACTTAAGCCAGTTTATATTATGACATGGTGTGAATGGCAGTCTCTAATATTATCCTATTCAATGTATTGTGTTATCCTGACCTATTATACATCAACACTTTAAAACTGAACTCCAATCAGCTTACAAAGAATGGCATTTGGGATCCCCTCCATCCTTATATTCAGTATCTAATGCTCATTTAGCCTTTGGGAATGTAATAGAGATGAATACTTACCTTATTCTTCAGTTTTGCATTAGCTGGTGCCCCAGAATGGGTGGGCCCTAGTCATCACGTACAGTATAGCTGGGAGCTAGCCTATAGGACCGTGGATGTAGGTGAGTAATACTGTCTATTACATCCCCACTAGAAACAAGAGTTAGGGCTTGTCACACTTGAATTCTTCCCAAATGCCCCTATAGCGTTAGACAGGCATTTTACAAGCGTTAAAAACGCTTCCCAAATGCTCCCCAAACACCCTATATGTGGTTTTGAGGTGTTTTATAGGCATTTTACAAGCGTTAAAACCACACCACAAATGCTTATAATGAACTCTAATGGTATTAACGCCTTGCAAACGCCCCGCACATGCCTTCCAGGCATTTGTGGAGCTTCACCACAGCTTTGAATGGGAAGCGTTGAAAGGCTTCAACTCCTCTTGACTAGACATGAGGCGTCAATTTTGACGCTAACGCTTCAGTGTGAACAGCACTGTGTGCTGCTATGTGTATCATAGGCATTTGAGGAACGTTAAAAACGCCCCTCAAATGCCTGCTTTCCAAGCTAGTGTGAACTGAGCCTTAGATTCTGAGTATATGGGGTGGCATCCACATGCCATTTTTGTAAGCTGATTGGAATTCATGTCAAGAAATTGTGTAACCTCCCTGGCGGTATTCCCGAGTGTATCTCGGGGTAACGTTTCAGCACCACAAGCGGTAACCCGAGCTACTCGTGGGAATACCTTGCTGCAGTGCTCAAGGATCTGTTCTTCTCTTACCTTGTCCTGCGCTCCCGCGATGTCCCTCCTGCAGTGTCCCCTGTAATGTCCTCCGACGGATGCCGGCATCCATCTTCTGGGTTCCGTCCCCTGCGACGTCGGGACATACGGGGGACAGAACGGCGGGAAATTTGAAAATGACAAAAAGTGACATTCACTAAAATCACTAAAATCACATAGTATAACATTACTGTATCAAACCATTTCAGATACATTTTGTCCCTAGTGCTTTGTCCTGTGCCCTGCCTACATTTTTACTGTTCTTTCTGCCTGGAAACTGAGAAACGTCCATGGCATCCAAAAAGCGTCCCTTTAGGTCAAAAGCGGTTTTAGACCAGCTAGAGAACAGCGATAGTAAATTAGAACCACTTGCAGAATTGAGTGATAATGATTCGTTGGGAAATTCGTCATCAGACACTGAAAATGATTTTGCGACTTAGCTCAGTGATGTGCGAACTTGGCGCTATATTTCAAATTTCAGTGTTTTTGGTTTGATTATATTATTGAATTAAATTTAATATTATATTATTAATTTTATGATTATTTATTAAATTATAATTTATGATTTTGTGGAAAATTTGGAAAATTTCAAGGGTTATAAATAATTTTCCAAGGTACTGTATGTATGCCGCCGTTGCTTACCTCCTTCTTTGAGAATGTCAGATCCCTGGTTGTCATGCTGATGCTTGTTGTCAACACTTTCTGACCTGAAAAGTGAGAGGAAATGTCATACCCATTCTGTAGAAATGCTGATTTCTAAGGCATGTGAAGTGTAATGCTCAACCAGCGTTTTTTGAAAAAAGACCACTTTTAACCGCTATTTATTAGGAGTCCATACAAATGATCCATGAATACATTACTAGTGAATATCATGCATGCATGGAAATCCTGTGACAATACTGTCATCACCAGGACTTTCCTGGCAATGGATGCAGTTCACCACTAATATATTCACTGGCATGTCAGAATCTATTCCATAAAATTTGCAGTGACTGTGTCTAGGTTGACAGTTTAGAAGTTCCTATTGGATCTGGAGAATGAATTAGGAGTAAAAGAAAATTTAACAATGTAAAATCTTTTAACACCTTTTGTTTCTTTACACACCAAAAATCTTTTCTAGGTGAATTTGACAACCCTTAGTGAAAACAGTGAATTGGTCACCTAATAGTGAAACAAAACCTAACGTTAATGTGGCTTCTCTCTGAATTCTCCCAAACAAATTTTAACCACATCTCAGAAACGTGGCCTCTGGCTTAACTTTTCAGATCTCTTGAACTTTATTATTGGCTGATAAATGTGATATGCAGTATCACATACAGATATCTTAGCAGGATTACAGAATATGGAATGGCTCCAATCACAGAGCACACAAATCACATGTGTTTTGCACAGGAATGTGGTGCGGTTCCTGTGCAAATCAGATGCAATGTACCACACCGCATATATGTGAACCCAGGCTTATCCTTGCATCCACAAAGTCCTGCAGGCACAGAAGGCAGGAAATATACAGTATAATATACATTTTTAGCAACATCTTAGGTTTAAAAGAAGGCAAATGTCCACATAATTTGTCTGGGATGATTGGCACTGGGCACCAGTCAGCCTAGACATCTTTTGATAGAAAAGAAGTATTGTGGAGGACATCTCCAGAGTGAAGGTGATTATTGCGGCAAGAGATTTCTTTATATTTTAAAAGCAGCAAGTCAACCATTTAAAAAGTGTGACTTTAACCATTATCTTGCTAGTGGGTCTATAATATTCCTTTAGCTCATGCAGTATAATTATTTGACTAATCCTACCCATTTTGGCATGCTCCTCTATTGCAGATGTTGCAGATGTAACTATGTGAAACATCGCCCAGATCATGAAAACGTGATCTCCTCACAAATAATTCACCCTGACAGTCAGTGAGTCTGCAAATCTTTAAAGGCAAATCTAAGGCAGACATGCTCTATTTCCTGAACCAATTTCCTTTTAAGATCCTCTTTTAACTTGGTAAAAACATCACAGGACAAAGAGTGATAATAGGAGTGTGCTTATTAGGGGATTGTTAGAGGAGTGGCTCATTCTTTGTTGTTCCAAACACCTTTGTTGGCAGATTTTAGACAACTGTTTAGTGTGCTTCTATACACTTCACATTCAATTTCTACATACAATCAATACATGTAATGTTGAAAATGTTGTTTTCTGCTCTAAGTAATAGAATATATTAATTAGGTAATAAAAATCTATTATTTTTTTAGTAATATGCATGAAATTCCGCAAAGGGATCAAGAAGAAAAATGCTGGAGCCATAGCTGATAATTCGGGTGACACTTCGCAGTGTTTGGCTTGTAGTGTGGGAGCAAAATACACTCCATCATTGATGCCATTGGCAGCAATTATAAACCCCAGTGTAAGTAATCTCCCTTTCATTGGTGGTCAATGGTTGTGATGTTACCCCCCTCCCCCTTCATTGGTGGTCAACAGTGGTAACGTTACCCCCCCTTCATTGATGGTCAGTGGTAATAATGTTACCCCCCTTCATTAATGTTCAGTGTTAGTAATGTTACCCCCCTTCACTGGTGATCAGTTGTAGTAATGTAACCCCCTTTCATTGGTGGTCATTGGTAGTAATGTTACACCCCCTTCATTGGTGGTCAGTGGTAGTAACGTTACCCCCCTTCACTGGTGATCAGTTGTAGTAATGTAACCCCCTTTCATTGGTGGTCATTGGTAGTAATGTTACACCCCCTTCATTGGTGGTCAGTGGTAGTAACGTTACCCCCCTTCACTGGTGATCAGTTGTAGTAATGTAACCCCCTTTCATTGGTGGTCATTGGTAGTAATGTTACACCCCCTTCATTGGTGGTCAGTGGTAGTAACGTTACCCCCCTTCACTGGTGATCAGTGGTAGTAATGTAACCCCCTTTCATTGGTGGTCAGTGGTAGCAGTGTTACCTCCCCTTCATTGGTGGTCAGTGGTAGCAGTGTTACCTCCCCTTCATTGGTGGTCAGTGGTAGCAGTGTTAGCTCCCCTTCATTGGTGGTCAGTGGTAGCGGTGGTCAGTATCAGGCTATAAGAATACAATAAATCTATATTGGTGGTCAGTTGGTCAGTGAAAACTGTAATCACCACTTCCCTCGCCATTAGTGGTGGCCAGTGGCAGGCTGTAATAATGTCTCTCCTCCAGCAATGGTTTTCTGTTGCAGGCTGTAAACATACAATAACCTCCTCCCCTTTATGGCCAGCATTTGTGTTCAGCTGCTTTCTCTCTCCCCATTGACCAGGACTATTCTTCTACTGTCAGGTGGAGATCACTCCACCTGACAGTTCCAGTGCCCTTCATGGTATTGTGTGGTGCTGAAATACAAAGAGCATTCTAGCACCCAGCACAATATTGCTACTCTGCATGTAGGAGACTGCATCAGGGCACCCTCCCAAGAGTCAGTAGCCAGTGCAGACTTACCCCCCCCCCCCCCCCTCCTCCCGCAGAACACCTTTAAATCTTAGTACTAGTATAACATTGTAGACTAGAAGGATTCTACTGATTTGTTTTGGGCTGAGTTTAAATCTTTTTACAGAGACCTTCTTGTCTTCTTTGTGACTATACAGACATCAACCTGCAGCAACTTTTCATCCCAACTCAAGTGATGTTTAGTTACACCAAACAATCATAGATGGGATCATCCATTTTCCTGTGGGGAAAAGTGGTACAATTACAGGGGTTAGACAAAATGTAAACATTACATGATTTGCAGGTGTGAAAGTGATCACATGTTTTGCATTGAAAGTGGAAGTAACATAACATTTTTTTGCTTCCTCTGTGTGATGAGATACCTAGCTAACAGGTGGGAAGATCACTTTCATCATTCACTGTATGCGCGGCTAGTAATACGGAGTCATGTCTGAGCTTCAAAGCAAATTGTTGGTGCCCGTTTAGCTGGTGCCTCTTTGATTGAAGTAGACAATTTATTTATTACATTTAATTATGTCACAAGGTTCAGGATCAAAGGTTATGACTGCATATAGTTTCTGGGAGAAGGTTAATCATAACATGGTCAACTGCGCTAAAAAGAGAAAAAGACATTGAGCAGGATTGTGACCAGGATTAAAAAAAACAACTGCTGCAGAAGTGACTGCAGAGCTCAATCTCAGTCTTCCAAAATGTGTGCAGAAGGAACTCCATGAGCAAATCTTTCAAGGGGAAGGTGCAATTTACAAACCACTAGTTATCAATATTAATGCTCAGAATCAGAGAGAGTGGTGCAACACCTATAAATCATCGATACAAATACAAATATAATCGAGCTTCACACTGTTCCCAACCACCAGGCGTGTTTACATGTGGCGAACACCATCCCAAGCTTACTGGCAGGTCTTGTGCTAACGGTAAAGCATAGTGGTGGCCAACCATAGTTTTGGCAGCCATATCTTGGTATTCTGCAGGCCCCATCATCACCTTGAAAGGTAGAGTCACCACCAGCAACTATGTGCAAATTTTGACCAACCATGTGCACCCCATGGTGCAGACATTGTTTCCCGAAGACAGTGCCATTTACCAAGACAATAATGCTCCAATTCACACAGTTGGTATTGTCACATCTTGGTTTGACATACATGCAGACGAAGTTTCATACCTTCCCTGGTTGCCGCAGTTGCTGGACCTTAATATCATGGAGCCCCTATGGTCAATATTGGAGAACAAGGTTAGGGCTCGCTTTCCACCTTCGGCATATCTTCGAGAACTGGATCGTTTTTGCATGAAGAGTGGTATCAGATTCCATTACCTATCATTCATGACTTATATTTGTCAATTCCCAGGAGGATTCAGGCCGACTTAGATGCCAAAGGCAGTCCAACAGCATATTAGGTAATGATTTCATTGTTTTACCCGGTGTTTACATTATTTTGTCCAACCCCTGTATGTTTTGATTTAAAAGGTGGCTAGCAGGAAAGAAAATCATTTTGTTTCCTACACTTGAGCATGATATTTATCACATTGTTTTTGACCCCTAAACAACCAGTTATCACAGGCTTTGTTTGTTTGGTTTACATGTTTTTTTGGCTGTGTGTGCAGAATTCAACTGACTATACATAGGATCAGGGCTTTTTTTTTGCAGTAGGAATGCAGGGGAACACAATTCCGGCACATTCGGCACTGAATGTATGTAACGGCAAGGGGTGCTGGAGGGTCAATTGATGATAGCTGGAGAAGTATGTATTGTCAACTGG